TGTGTGTGTGTGTGTGACAGAGGGAGTGACAGAGGAGATTATTTCAACATATAAACTGGTTGTGTGAGAATATGCATTGAGCGCACAGCTTTGGCGGTGCGGTTGCCTACGAGCAGGTATGCCAATTAAGACGCCCGACTCAAATGAGACGGACTGAGAAAAGAGAGAGACACAGAGGAAGAGACGGAGCGATGTGAAAGTGTGAAAAAAGAAAAGAGAAAGAAAAAAGCACAGAGGAGAGGCTATCTGCAGGCTCCTTGTGATCTAGCAGGGAGCAGAACTCCAGCCGTGGTCAGTAATTCATAAGCAGAGCACGTACAGACTGAGCCGAGCTCACCCTCTGGCAACGCACACGCACGGATACACGTACACACACACGCTCATAACACTCACAGTCACACCAGCAGCCTGGGACACAATCTCAGCTCCATATCCAACCCTGCTGCCATCCAAATGTCACCGGCAGAACCTCTGACCCCTGTTAACGCAAACACTCACTCACACACACAAACACCAATAGTTCAAATAATATGACATACACACACTTTACAAACTTCAATACACACAAAAACTGTGTTTTAAAAGAAAAAAGGTGAGTTTGTGAGATACGGAGACGGCGCACAAACACTCACCTCAGAGTGAAAGCTGGTGCCGGGCTGCGCTGCTGCGTAGAAAGACCGGCCGCACACACACCCCCGTCCTCATGCACGCACGTGTACGCAACACTCTCAGTGGCGAGGTGTGTGCGCGTTTGAGAGGACAATGAGCTTGGATGGAGCTGAGCAGCAGCAGGAGGAGGAGGAGAAAAGGGAGGCGGGAGATGTGTGGTTGGGCGGGAAGGTAAAGAGGAGAGAGAGTGAGAGAGAGAGAGAGAGTGAATAATGAAATACAACACAATTAAAAAAAAAAGAAGAAATGTGAAAAAGGTCGTCCCGAAGCAAAGTCCCTCTCGTTCCATCTGTGGCTTTGCGAGTGTGTAAAATGTGTCAAGGTAACTAACTCTCTGTGTGTGTGTGTGTGTGTGTGTGTGTGTGTGTGTGTGTGTGTGTGTGTGTGAGAGAGTGAGAGAGTGAGTGTAACGGCTGAGTGGTCTCCTATCCATCCCTGGGGACTTGGCGCCCTGCCTCAGAGCAGAGAGTGTGCTGAAAAGAGCTTCACATCTCTTCTAAGTGTTGATGTGTGTGTGTGTGTGCATGCGCACGTGTGTGTGTGTGTGCGTGTGTGTCCTCCACTCAGCCAGCTAGCCTGTAACTTCGCCAGCATCACAACACCTCTCATGTCTTCTTGTCTCAGAAGCCTCCTCTTCATCTTCTTCATCTCTGCCTCTCTCTCCCTCTCTGCAGGGAAATACCTCTGCCACTAACTCTTCAAAGGTCTCTCAGCCGCTCGAGCTCACTCTCTCTCTTTCTCTCTTTTAGTTTCTGCACTGTAATAAAATACTTTTGATAAAATACTATTACAATAAATACTTTTTCCCCAAAGAAATTAGCTCACATCCATAACTTGAAGAGGAGAAATATATTTGTGTGTGTATATATATATATATATATACTGTATTTATATATATATATATATACATACAGTATATATATATATATATATATATGTTTTCCTTATCCCAAAAAAACCTCAGCAGAGGATCTCTCTCCCCCCCCAAAAAAGAAAAAGCACAGAGAATTTAGGCACATTACTTAGTCTCATACTGGCTTTAGGAGCACATTCAGAAGTTGGTAAATTTTTAAAAAAAAAAAAGAAAAGAAACGATGAAAACTAGTCTTTTTAAAAAACGAGGGAGATCTTTGCATCTCATATTCAAACTCTCTCTCTCTCACACACACACACACACACACACACACACACACACACACACACACACACACACACACACACACACACACACACACACACACACACACACACACACACAGACTGAGCTGCAGGTGTATGTGTGTGTGAGTAATCGTGTTTTCATGTGTGTGTGTCTGTGTGTGAAGTGCCGTGCAGCCTCAATCCTCTGGCTCAGCCACAGAGAAGCCAATCTCCACATCCAATTATTTGCTTCTCAAAGGCAGACAGATGGAGAGAGCGCGGGGAAAAAAACAGTGAGTGAGGTAGAGAGAGGCAGAGCTGGAGTTATGGAGAGTGCAAGAGAGAGAGATGGGCTCTTTGAGGGTCTGCACAGGGGGGGATTAATTAGAATGAAAAAGAAATGAGGGGTATAGAAAGTCTCGTCTTTGCCTGAGTCCGGAGAATAGTTTCACAATTAGCCAAAGTCCCAAACAGAGCCTGTGGACACAACTCAGCAGAGAGAAGGGAATAAAGAGAGAGAGCGAGAGAGCGAGAGAGATCAAAACCCAAAATGAAAAACGCCAAAAGGGACAGAAGAGCTGAAGTTGTTAGAGAAATGATTGGCAAAAGCATGTCATACATGGGTTGTTTTTTTTGTTCTTTTCATTTCGTGTTGCCGTACCCTCCTGAGGCGAGCGCTGGCCGTCCCGTCTTCTCAGTCCTGTTATTCTTCTTCTTCTCCTTCTTTTTCTTCTCCCTCCTTCTGCCCTCCGCTGTCCGGGATATTCCATCAAAGAAGAGTGTGGCTCATAGCAGATGGAGGCATCGCTGTGCTCCGAGCACACTCCAGTCTTCACCGTCTTCTCCCTTTGACTCTTTTCACCGTTTTCTCCTTTCGCTCTCGTGTGCCGGAGCATTTTTCTTCCTTCCCAGCAGTGGTGACACACAGCGTGGGGGGGAGTTGAGAACAGTGGGGGGGGGGGGGGGGGGGGGGGGTGGAGAGCTAAGACTAAGAGAGAACTAAAAAAAATAATATTAATAAAGACAAACTGAGGTTTAGAGGGTGGGAAAGAGCAAGTGTAGGTAGATGGAACAGTGAGCGGAGAATGACGAGAAGAGGCAGGTGGAATGGGTAGTGACACATCGCGGAGGTGTGCGTCTGCATGTGTGTGTGTCAGAGCATGGGGGCCGTCCTTCTAGCCAACACACCGCCAACGAGGAGGAGGAGGTGGTGGAGGAGGAGGAATAGCTGGATGGCTAGATAGATAGGTGGATGGAGGGATGGATAGAGGGAGTGATTCAGCAAGCATGCCACCTCCTCTCCTCCTCCTCTCCACACACACACACACACACACCACACACACCCACACCACACACACACACACACACACACACACACACACACACACACACAGTTAGTTCATTATCATTCACTGGATTTCACCATGACACACATGGCTAACCTACTCACGGAGACAGAGCCGAGCCCTGAACTGAATCCTAATGGATGGTAGGGAGGATGGGGGGGTGGGGTGGGGGGGGGGGGGGGTGCATATCAGGCAAGCAGGTGTCCCCTCCACATCTATTGTTTCCAGTCAATGCTCTTGTCAGTGTGTGTGTGTGTCTATGTACGTACAAATACAAGCACTTTTTCTTGTCGAGAAGTAGCCGAAACAACATGTGCATCTGTTTCAGCTAAGAGCTCCACGTCTATTTTGGGTTTCAAACTGCCGTCAGCCAAAACTTTTCAAGTTGAGATGAAGCAAAAAGTGTGACCAGAACTCTCTGTTTCCACCAAGAATTTCCCCTTACAGGATGTTAAGCGTCTCTGTGTTTGACAGCTCGCATCAGTTTTTCTCATATATCTAACAGGGTAGTTTTGTGAGGCTGAAATGACACAATTCAACGTGGAGTACATTATCTTGTCATACTGGATTCTTGCACTTTGGGAAGCAATGACAAAACCCTTTTGGGGAAATGTTGCACATGCTACATGTATTGTGATGCTAAATTTATAAATTGCCTAAATGTTCCAAACCAATAATTTCCACACAAGAGCGAGAGGTGAATAAAAAAGCAAAAGTGTAAAAACTGCCGTTCCTCTAATAGACATCCAACTTTATAGCATTAGCACGCAATCTTAATCAAACCATCACCAGTACTTGTTTATGATCTGCTAAAACAACTACTTATGATAATTAGTTATTTGCTCATTATCATCACTAAACTTCACCTCTCCACCAAGTTTGGTGCAATTTGAAGCATGCTAATAAAAACTGTCTCACCAAGAACATGGCTCGATGTGTGACACAAATTACACAGTGGAACTCTATGATTTTATGAGTCTGTTAGTTAGCACTATTTAGCTTACATGTATTTTATGACTACAGCTCGCTAATCAAACTACATAATAACATAATTTAATTAAAAAACAAAAAAACATCACAGCTGCCAAAGCTTGCTGCATCCATGTGGTATATGTTATCCATTGCTTTAACATGCCCGAATTGCAGCATTTAACCACTTAAGTTGAAAGTAAATACTTACATACCATAAACCAGTAGCATGTACAGAAAATTAGCGGATGTAACCCCCCTTCATGTCTCTGCACTATATAGAACTGTAAGCAATGCTTTAGCAAAACAAACAACAGAATACTATAAAAATACTTGACTACACATGCCATACTCTACATATACATACTTCTATACATACTTCAGAACTGTATTACTGGCAAACATTATGTAAGATAATGAAATGAAAGTACTTCTCCTGCAGAAAAACGTTCCACATTGGTGTTATATGGTTTACTGTGTTACTGTATTCCTACAGTATTACTAGCATTACTATTGCTGAGCATTGAGCTTCTTTTAAATAATTCATATTCTGTTCAGTGCACAGTAATGCATCGCATTGTGCTCATCGCTTGAGCACTGTGTGACATAGCTGTCGATATCTCTAGTGGGGAAAAACTGAATGAAAAACGAAGATGGTGTATTAGCAAACCAGCTGAACTTTGTAAATTTGGTAAACCAAGTTACAAGTTAATCTGAAATTCTACATAAAGTAATGAAATGCTGGGGGAACCTGCACCTATTCACCTGGTGGTTTTATTAAGCCAAACAGAGCATTAGTTCCCCTCGCCATCATCATAGTTTTCATTATAATGTTCTGAATGATTGATTCAAACTTTCTTACATCTTGGATATGTTGACCAAAGTGGTTAGTAAGAGAAAGCTCATCTTTTATCATGATAATAGAGTTTCCATCTACTTGCCAATTCCAGCTCTGTTTTGTCACTAAACACAGCTCAGATCAGTAGATGCAAAGCCAGCAGCAGTTGGCCCTGCATGCTAATCATCAGACCAGAGGTTTATCCCCAGTGCACAAGCACAAACAAAGAACTGTAAGCTGCTGGCTCTAAGCTTGAGAAATTCCAGCCATCGTCAACCAGCCATGGACACTTTCATGAGAACGCCTACTCCATACTCTTACCACGCAGAAATAATTCTGTTTCTAGTAACAATAACCATCTGTGGTCACAAGATGGCAGTAATGAATGAATGCAAACAGCCATGAGAGAAATTTAATGACAGAAAGCTATGTGTAGTGAAACAAGATTGTTTAATTTGGTATGCTTTAATTAATGTCTGCTTTTGATTTCACTAGACAAGCACTGCTTGCCTTGCATGCCCTGAAAGAACGCCACTGCCATAAACTAGTGGAGTGCGGATGAATACTAAATATAGATATAATACAAAATATCAATTACTCCGATACCAGATATTTATGTTTTAGAATCGATTCTCATAAAAATATACATTTTGGTACTTTGTGGTAAATTTGTACTTTATGAGTAACAGGAACACAGTAGCTGTATTACAGGGATTGTCTAAATGATTGGTAAGAACTACTTCTTCTTCCGCCTGTCATAGTGATCTGCGAAATACAGCTGTGTAAATGCGTCACAGGTCACTTGTGCTCGCTCACTCAGTTGATGAGTGGAGTCATGTGTGGAGCTATTTCAGCTCCACTAACAGCCGAGACGCGGTTTGTGACAAATGTGGCTTAAAAATTGTAGACTGCAAACCTTGTCAAACAGAAACAAAGATAAATTATAACACAGAATATGATGATGAGTTTATGATGAGGCAAACTGAAGAGGAGGAGAGGGACAGGTGCTGCTGGGGCGAGACAAACATAGCTCGCGGAGTCCTTTGGTGCTGCAGGCAGGCACTATCTATCTAGGTACAAATGAAATGTGGAGCTGTTGGCTGCGTGTAGCACTGGTGCTGAATTTTGGAAAGTGACTTATGTCTAGGTTTTTGTGTCTGTGTTTAAATGACGGAAATTCTTCGCATCTTTAAAAAGACAAAGTCTCATTTGTTGAAATTGTAGTGCATACTGATACAAAGTATCACTATCAGATCAGTATTGCCAATACCTGTCTGAATGTTACTTGGTATTATACATCACTACTGTTCCATAAACCATACTGAACTGAAGTAATCTGGGAAAGTACAGGAAATGATAGAATTTCGTCATAATATCATGTCTAATCTCTCTCTTTAAAATGCTAAAATGTTTAGTCTGTAAAAAAACAAACTTGTTGTTCAGTTGTCTAAACCGAATCCCTAGAAATCGAGCTGTCCTGTAACAGATCTCACCTGATTATAAAACTACTTGATGTAACAACTGCAATAATTAATGCAATAATTTTGTCGAACCTCTTCACTCTAAGCTTTACAATCCATACCTTGGCTGTTTGATTTAAAATCTGCTGTGTTTGTGTGCAGAGGCCAGATTAAGAAACGAAGAAGAAAGCAGATTATAAACAGAGCCAGCGAGAACAAAGAGAAACATGGACAAACCAGCAAGTTTAATTATGACTGAGGGTTTCTGTGTAACTGCACCGTGACATTACTAAAGGTCAGAATAAGCTAAAAATGGTGTTCAGTTGTTGAACACAGGGAAAGAGGACTAATGCTGTTTTCACACCACCAAACTGTGGTTGGTACAACTCTTCACTTATTTATGTTTGAAGCTCATGTTACATCGCTGTCCATCCATCCATTCGCTTCCGCTTATCCTTTTCAGGGTCGCGGGGGGCGCTGGAGCCTATCCCAGCTGTCATAGGGCGAGAGGCGGGGTACACCCTGGACAGGTCGCCAGTCTGTCGCAGGGCCAACACACAGGGACAGACAACCATTCGCACTCACATTCACTCGCACATTCACACCTAGTGGCAATTTGGATTTTCCAATTAACCTATCCCCACAAGCTGCATGTCTTTGGATGGTGGGAGGAAGCCGGAGTACCCGGAGGGAACCCACGCAAACACGGGGAGAACATGCAAACTCCACACAGAAAGACCCCGGCCTGATGGAGGAATTGAACTCAGGACCTTCTTGCTGTGCGGCAACAGTGCTAACCACCGTGCCACCGTGCTGCCCCTGTTACATCGCTGTGAACAGTCAATTTACTGCATGGCTCTACTTTAATGACATTACATAGCTAGCAGGCAAGCACTAAATGAGTGGAATTAATTAATGTAGGTGTTAAATGTACACTAAAAGCATTTGTTAAGTGCCTATTAAATGTTGTAAGAATGATTAAGCTGCCATTAGTGACCACTTTGTGCCCAACAGCTCCAATGTCAGCCGACAGAAGCCGTGCTTTAGCTAACAGAAGAGCACGTCGGCCCAGTGCTGAAGATGTAGTCTACAGGTTTATAGGGAGTTGAAGTGTAGGGCAAGTCGTATTACGTGGGCTGTAGCAAAAGCCTATATGCCTAACCTTGAATTTACTGTTTATCAAGTAAGCTTGCTGTGTTTTTCATGTGGAGCCACACCAAATCCTGTGTGTTTGTGGTTTAATAGTCTCAGAGGGAGGCAGCTGCTGGGAACAACAAAGAAAAATGGAGTTCCTATTGAAGGTAGGCATTTTAACTTTGGTGATAAAAATTCTTTACTC